TCGTCTCCTCCTCTCTCTCTCTCTCTCTCTCTCTCCCCCTTTTCTCTCTCGCTCTTTCTGTACATCGGAGGTCGTGTGTGCAACGCGTGCGCGCACGTGTGTAAGTGCACGCGCATATGCATGCAAGCGAACGAGCACGCGATCGTCAAACCCAAAGCCGTAAACGTAAACAAGGGCTGTTAGGACGGCCTCTAGGCGAAAGCGCGGGCACTTATGATCGGATCTAAATATTTTGCACCCCTTCTTCCACCACCAGTGACTCTCAACATTGTTTTTCGCTCTCCTCGAGATGACGACGATAGAAGTGTCGTCGGGGGAGAGAAAAGTTCCTTGAATCCGGTTTATTTGAATTAACGTCCGATAACGAGCAACAACGAGATCCTTTACTGATCCGACGACGAAATCCGGTTGCGGCTCGTGTAGCTCGTAAATTTTTTTTTACCAATCGGTTTTGGAGCCACAGTTCCGACCGCAGCGTCGTTTATCACGTATATCTATGTACATCGGTAGTCGGATCGCGTGACTCTTAATATTAAAGCGCTATTGATCGCGAGCAATTAATTACCGGACAGCCGGATACACCGGTAGTGAATCGTGACGTGAACAATCTGACGCTAGAGCGGCTCGTCGGCCGATTGTCCGTTCAAAGGGAAAAAAAGCTGTTGATTCACGCGCCAGTTAAACCAACCAAATTACTTTGTACAATCAACGAAACGAATACACCGCGTCGGCACCGGTGTAAAGCAAACTAGTGGCGCACGGATATTGACATTTTTATTCGGGCGACGCGTATCTATCGATTTCAACCTTGTCCGCCTGTCTTTCGTCGATTCGGAGCCTCCTCTGCCGTGTCTGAACTGCGCGATCATCGCGGACGTCAATGTACGTACACGTGCGAGGATTGTTCCGGATTTCCATTCGCAGCGTCCCCGCATTAAATGAGTCGGGACACGCGGAAATTCCGCCGTGTATTCCGAGTGTTTTTTGCATTTAACTAGATTCCCTGTCACGGCTACGCGAATATTTTTAACTTTAAATGTCGTTTTTGCACGCGCGTTTTCATGCTGGTCATTTCATCTATATATATATATATATATATATA